AGCATGGTCCCACTAGGTAGCAATGGGGATTTGATTAAGATCCCGAATCTGGGCGTGTCTTAGGCAGAGATGCAGAAAAGGAGTTCAATCTCGATTTTTTGCACTTGTCCACAAACTTGGCCAGATTCTGGCGTTCAATCCAATCCTCTTTGCTAGTGGGACCTCCGCCCTGGTTTCGGAACTGTCCTCTTTTTCTTCTTTTTTTTTCCGTGGCCGCTGGCCGTTTATTCTTCGCTTTTATTTTATGCTGACATCTCCGCAGTTGAGTCCCATGCAAGCTCTGGTCTCTTCCCAACACTCTCCCTGGCCTGACGACAGCCTGTCAGAGCAGTCAGGTCAGCCCGCTTCAGGGGCCTGCTGCAGCGTGAAGTTCTGGTTTTTTTCTGTTGTTCTTCAATTGTTCATGGGAGCAAGGGAAGAAATCTATTCCTATTTAAAAAAAAAAAAAAAAAAAAAATCTATTCCAAACAACCTAATAAAGTAAATGTCCCCTATAGCCCAAAAAGGAAAGCGTTTTTGGCTGTAGCCCCCAAAAGTTCCCTGAATCGCATGGGACCAGCATGCAACCCCCACAGCGCTAGCATAGTGCCTGTGTTGTGTGCTGGTCCCCGGATGGTGACTTTCTCACCATAGCCGCCTGGCCAGCTACCATCATGATGTTTTTCCTGGGTATCCTCCAGCAGCCATAGCCAGCTTCATGGAATTCTCATTGGGGTCTGGCACTGGAGTGTGGTGATATTGTCCTCGGCTCTCCTTTGCAGCTGCAGCCGGAAATATGTCGCCGACTGGACTTTACCAAAATTACCAGTGCAGCGGCATACAGAACACGGGCAGTATTTGTCCACACCGCGAAGTGAAGCTGCTGTCAGTTCATCCAACACACCCTTTAGGTACTTGAGCTTCTTACAATCGCCTACGTGTTCAAGTGGTACCCAATTTCAAGTTTCTTCTTTGGGCGGCTTTGGTTCGCAATACTTCAATTTCAGACTCGGCGATTCTACTTGTTGTACTAGGTCATTCTTCGAACTAATGACCATGTTTGTTTGCCATAAGTCTCAGTCTCGACCGTTCTACTACTTGCTGTACTAGGTCATTCTTCAAACTAATGACGAATCAGATGTTTGTTTGCCACTAATGGCAACTTTCCTTTGGTTTACCTTCTCACCGGTTTTGGTGAAATGAGCTACTCTTCTCCTTTCTTGCTCTCTTTAGAGAGGATAGAGGAGAGACTGCACAGCACACACAGTCTTTGTATGAGAATGGAGAAAGATAGGTGCACACTCCATTACGCACACCGAAGACAACGCAGACAATGCAACTCAGCGAATCTTCCAAAGATTACACAATAAGTGCAACCACAAATGAAAAGGATGGAAGCCCTTCCTCCCATAGCAGTCGTACTATCTTTAGGCTGCTTCATCTCTTTCCATAAAAAAAAGTAATTCCCATACCCCAACTAATGACTCTGACCCGCCAGTAACCCTAAGGGGCGGCCAACACTGTGACGACGCTTAACCTCACGCCCTACACTGCTTTCCTAAATTATGCAACAGGGTTGTGCCAAGGATTTTAGCAAATTTAGAGTGACTGTGGAGTTCCAGGTCGGAACTGGAATCTCCCGTACGGTTCCGGTTATGGTTAAGACGAAGACGAAATGGTGGACGAGCAACATCCCCTTATTCAAGAATTATCTGTGTACATCATCCCAAGCCCTTCAGCCCCTCTTGCCCGGACGGAACAGTGCAGGGGCGTACGAAGGATCTCGGCTATGGACGAGGGCCCGACGACATGTCGGGCAAAGCTCAGCATTCAAATTAAAGGTGCGCAAACGTGCGAACCTTTCAGCAACTTGATGGTCAGGCAACCTAATCACAGTTCAACAAACCAAAGACCAAGCCTCTCAACTCCTACCCATCAACCATCTTCTTACCTAGACCATCAGTCTGCGAATAACCGAAGCTCATCTCCTTCTCGACTCTCCTAGCCCCCAATATAATATCTAAGCAGGGGTTCCATATCTTCAACCCTTGATAAGAACGAGGGCCTTCTTCTTAAATTGGACTACTTCCTAACTTCACAACATGACATTGTGACGCCCAACCTCACGCCCAGCGCGACTTCCTGATCGGAGTGGGATGTGGGCCTGGAAGTGCGAAAAGGGGTGTGCCAAGGATTTTTGGGAAAGTGGGGGAGTCTTAAGGATATGAATGCAATTGGGCGAAAAAGGGGCACTGTGGGCGACGGTTTACGGGGAAATCCCTCCGCGGTGGAGGCGGTCCCGAAAAGTTAGGCCGTCAGGGGCCGCCACGTGGCGCAGGTCACCGCGTGCCTGGGTTGGGCCTTCGGAATTCCGGAGTTCTCGGTTCGCCGCTACGTCGGCAGTTCACGCAAAACGTATTGGGCCAATAGGGGGCTATGGCCGGCCACGGAACAACACTGAGTTGATGATACGGGAGAAGGAGGCGGAAAGGAGGGAAACTGGTGGTGATCTCAACGAATCCTGGGGGGGTGAAGTAGTAGGTGTGGTCGGGGGAAGGGAAATCAGAGCACCGAGGGTCGCTAGTGGTGGCACAGTGGAATTCCCGCGGACATAGTCGATTCTCCGTGTGACAAGGGTATCGCATCCTTATGAGCTCGTTTATTATAGGGGTGAAATAGCCGGGTCATAGGACGAGTCTGAGCCCCAAGATCGCGTCATGGTATCATCGCCTGTGGGATAGCGCGGGTCGGGTTATCGTCACCGCGCACGAGCACGTGCAGGACAGGCAGACGCCGGGACGCCTCAGCGTGCTCGTACGGGATGATGGCTCCGCCGCAATTCTTTCTGGGTGGGCGAATCAACATACGGGAATGCGTGTAAGGGCGCGACTTGGATCGAGTTTGCACGTGTCCTCGTGCGGCGTTCGCGGAGCCAGACCTCGGATCATTTAATTGCTTCGGATTATGCAAGATGCAACCATATCACACTCCATCGTGAGACAAGCAAAAACGAGAACAAAATCGCTATCGGGGTGAGATTCTTATCCCATCTACAGTTGCATCATGTGTGGGCAAAGATTTCTTACAAGCGAGAAAGCAAGGACAGGGGTTCTTAGCAAAAAGATATACCAGCAGGCATAACGTCCACACATCCACACATTCATACATCCATACATTCGATAATCACANGCAGGCATAACGTCCACACATCCACACATTCATACATCCATACATTCGATAATCACACACATAACGCAATCGGGACGGACATAGCAAAGACAAGTATGAGCAAAAACCCACGCCCAGAATTCAGAAAGCCGAAATAAAAATAAGAACGGGCAACCCGCCCGGAGTCGCAATCAAAATGTATGTACACAGGTGAAGAGGGGGAAGAGACAAAGAAACTGCAAATCCACGTCCTTCAACCTCAACTCTCTCTTCCTCTCTTTCTCTCTCGGATGCGGACAGTCCGTCGTCACGCACCAACCCATGAAGTTGTCACCCCGCTTAGTCCTCCCGCACCCGTCGGATTCGCCCGTGCCCACAGTCCGTCGTGGCCCACGTCAATCCCGCGCGTTCGACACCAGCCCGTCGGGTCGCCCAACTCCGACTCTACTCACCTCTTACTTCGCTCGTGCGATGACCCTTCCTGATCGCACAACCCCGAGCTTCCAACAACGGGTTCGGAGAGTTGACTAATCGCGCAGCCAGAATTTATAGCGTGCATGCATGCGCGAAGAACACAGAATTACCAGGACTTAGAGTGAGGATTAGAGAGGGAACACCTGCGTTCTGCATGATCGGCTGCGGCGTGGGGGACGTAACCCTTCTCCACGCATCGATCCGAGCATGCAAGCCGCGGCTTACAAAATTTCAGCAAAAGAAAGAGAGGGAGGGTGGGAAAGACGAAGTGCAAGAAGAAAGATACAGTTACAATGGCGCCCGACCAAAATTACAGTTACACACGCGATTAAGGGCGCCTACTAATCACAGTTCTGTTGCAGCCGCATGAAGAAGCGCGTAAATAAAAGGCGCCGCACAGCAGGAAAAGTCCTAATTACTAAATTCCTAAATTTCTTTCTAATGCGAAAAAGCAAAAAGCACGAGTTCCAGAAGGAAAGTCCGAAATTCCGAGAGCCATTGGGGGCTCAACAAAATTCGAAAAAGATTCAAGAGGAATTTCCAAAAAAAGAACAAAGCTATTTTCCGCGCGATGTCCGCGCCAAAAAGATCGAAATTGAAACGAAAGAAACGACGTCAATATTTATAAATCGCGTGCGTGGTGGCGCGCCTGACATCCATCCGACCAATCACTCAACCGGCAGTCCCAGGACACACCCAGCCCCAAAGAAGCCACGAAAAAGACGAAGAAGCAAGGGTACTGATGCAATTTTCCACCGATCCCGATTTCCCGTAATTGGCCCAATCTTCCCAGCTTAGGACCCCTCGTTGGAACCGCGCAGAAACTCGTGCGTTACAGAAAGTGATTTGTCACATATGTGACGCCCAGGGGGTTCCAATACTAGCAAGTTCCTGCTTGCTTGTTGACACGTGTCGATTTCTCTAATCGATCGACACGCGGAGCACTTCACTTTATGCCACTTACCGTTCGATCGCGTGAGGACGTCATCCAACGTGGCAACTCTGCTCTTCTACCAGTTCCTCAGCTTTGGCTCTTCGACGATCCAAGGACGGGATCTTTCTCGTGCCGTCGCCGCGACAAGCATCCATTACCGGTTGCATAAATAATTAATTGGAAGGGGAAAAGGGAGTCGGTGCATGGCGGCATGGTGGGGTGGAGGGCTTATGGGTAGCGGGGGCAGGAACCTTTCCATCCCGGCTGCAGATTCTGGAAACGCTTGGTAGCGGACGATGCGGTGGAAGCGGGGGAAGCGGTTGCCAGTGCGAGGGAGGGACGCGAGGTAATCAGGATAGAGGGTGGTGAGAATTCGAAAAAGTGTCGCGCGGAAACGATCGCGATTTTGCAGGCGGGGATGGTCCCCGTTACTATGCAATAAACCTCGATCATATTGTGGCCTCGCCACGCGGCACTAAGGAGCAAAACATGGAGGTAGAAGGTTGGGACGACGCACTGAATGGAGGGGTGGGGATGCACTACTATAGCGAGGCGAGCAGCATAGAAGTGGCGGAAGGTATCGCGGGGAAACGGGCTGGAGGGGAACGTGAAGGGGGTGGTGAGCTGGCGGAGGGTGAGGTAGTCAAGAGGACAGCGAGAGAGTAATCGGGGATGAAGGCCGATCGCCCGTATCGGTACGTCGACGAACTGGGGGACGACTTGGGGAGGAGGGGGATCGGCTCCGTCGCCTCGTTGATGGGGTCGGAGTCGTGGCCGTGAGGTCGCCATGTTCTGGTCGGGGCGTCTCCGGATCTTGGTTTGGGTCGTCGTGGTCGTGCAAGCTTGCCCCGCTCGCAAACTCTAGTTCCCTCTTCCCGGCCGCGGTTTCTTCTCTTTTGAGGGCCGCCTCCAGATCTTCAGCCTCCGTGCCCGTGCGCAACGCTTCTTCATGCACAGCTTCCCACTCCAATTCTGCAGGTCCTCCTTCGTTCTCCTCTTCTCCTTCGTCTTCTTCTTCTTCTTCTTCGCTCTGCTCCCCCTCGCTATGCTCGCTATAGATTCCCTCTTCGGGGGTTTCGTCCTCTTCCCTGAGTACTTCGTCGCTTTCCCCACTTTCTTCCCGCTCGTCTTCTCCTTCGTCACTCTCAGTGCTTTCTTCCTCCTCTTCTTCCTCTCGAATGGCAGCAAGCTGTTCTGTCGTTGGATGCCTGAAGAAGGCAGGATTGCGATTCGGGGATCCAAATACTGCTGCTGCGACGGCGGGATGCGCTCTGCGGCTCCCTCCACACAAGCCGACCACTGGAGATACAGTGTCAACGTGCGAGAAAGCACGTGAGGAATCGGGTGCTCGTCGTCCTGCGAGATGATGTCGAGAGGGAGATCGTCCGCCAGCTGTGCTACCGGGCTCGTGAGCTCTTGTGCGATGAGTTCCTGATGTCCGGGTTGCACTGTTCCGAACAAAAACGCGAGGAGTTCTCCCTCCACGTTGGTTCGCCAAGCGTGGATGAACAGCAACTCCAGGCGCTCTATGCAAGGCGGGCGCGCTTCGTCCTCGGTCCACGTCAGCCGTATCTCAACCAAGCACAGTGACAGCTCGACGAAGTCTTCGCGCCACAGGTCCCAATATGGGGGATGAATGTCGGGGACCGCAAGGGTCGCTAGACAGTAGGAAAGATGAGGATGGATATCGGACTGCCAGAAGGTGGGGAAGGTGGAGGGGAGATAAAAAACGGAGATCGGAGAGAGACTCATTGGGCGCGAGGGAAGGGAACAACAACAGGGAGAACCGCCGACGGATCACGCTGGTACATCCGAAGGCCGTCGTATTCGATTGCTCGTGTCGGCGCGACCGTGTCCCCTGGGCGAGCCAGAAGCTGGGTCCACTCAGCGACCAGATCGTTTGCCCATGCGCGCAGCGATGTCCTCACCGCCGAATGTCGTAAAGGGAGGAGCGTGGAGAGATCGCCACGGAAGTTGATGACGACCGATATGCGGCTGACACCTGGCACCGCTCGCTGATGAACTGCTACTGCCTCGGCCAGTACCACAGCGTTGGGCCGGCCCTCGATTCTGAACACCGCCGTTGCATACACGCCTTCCGTGCAAAAAGAGTGCGCAAGCCGCAAAAAATCTGGACAGAGGTGGGGATGATAGACTTGCCGGATCATCAATCGATCACGGGGTGCAAGCGATGCTTCGCTGAGGGCTCTTTCCTCCTGAAAACTCATGGCGATGGCGATGGAGACAGAGAGGCAGAGAGGGAGCAAGAGGAAGAGGGGGATGGCGGAGAGTAAGAGCCGTCGTCTTCGGCTTCCTCAGAAGGAGAGATCGAGGGAGAAGGAGATGGAGCAGAGGGGAGGAGGCGAAGATAGGACACGTGGCGTGTGATCGGGCGGGCCGATCGGCTTCCAGAGGCTTCTGGGGCGAGACGCACAATGTCCACGCCGTTGGGGCCGAGCTCGATCACACGATATCGCCCGAAGAATCGTAGCGCTAGCTTACCTTGGCGAGCACATTTCCTCACCTGCACCACGTCCCCTAATTTGTACTGGGTCCGCGGACCCGCATTCCCATTTCAGGCCTCGTAGCTCCGGACCTGCCGACCTTGGGCTAGTTCGGTCATTTTCTGTCGTTTTCGGGCTATAGCCTGGGCAGTGACCATTCCATTAGCTCTAGGTGTCGTTTGGCCTTGTCCCTAGCCTTGGCCCTGGGGGGCCGTCGGTTCAATGTAGACTCGTCCGGGAGGCTTGGTATTGAAACGCAAACAACACTATTGGTCCTTAATTGGAAGGGGCTTAGCCCCATCGATTCGTGAGGCGTTCCACGATGGACCGCCAGGATGTGATCGACGATGTCGGGCCGGGGCCTCGGATCTCGTGCCGCGATATTTCGTCGCAATGCGGTCTTTATCACCCGGTTGGTGTTTTCGACCAGCCCATTGGATTGCGACATGTGGGGTGCGGTGTTCCGTATGGCGACGCCATGTATGACCAGATTCTTTAACACTTCTCCCCTGAATTCAGCCCCGTTATCGGTCAGGATCTCTTCCGTGTCCTCATGCATCCCGAGGAAACAGTCGGCATATCGCGTGATTACCGTGGCTTGCCGCGTGCGACAAGGATATGCTTCGATCCATTTCGAGAAATGGTCGACAAATACCAATAGGATTGAATATTCGCAGTTATTAGGGCTAGGGGGCACCACTATGTCGGTAGTGTCCATGCTCACTCTTTGAAATGGTCGTTCAACAACCGTGGGCACTATCGATCTTGGCGGCTGAATCGGCGCCTTGTCAGCGGTGCAGACTTGACAGTTGGCGACAATGTATTTCACATCGTCGCGGATATTGGACCAATACCACTCATTTTTGTCGATAGCGGACTCCGTGATTCGTACGGCAAAATGGGCCACAGTTTCCTCGTGGGCTGTCTTAACCCAGTCGTACCACATGAACGGATGCGGCACTACCATCCAAATCCCACTGCCGTCCATTTTCCGTTTTTCTAATCTACCCTCTATCCATCGATAATCCCGAGCCCTTTCGTTGGCCCTCTTCCGATCTTCCTTGGTGAAATCTTGGAGGGGGTTACCTACTAGGGTGACAATTAAGGCAATATCCGTCCATACTTCAGCCCTTCTAAACTTTCGGGTTTTTTCCAATCCTTCTGACGTGGCATCCAAGAAACGAGTCTCGGTCGGAATTTTGTCGGTCTGGCACAAGGGGCACAACCATGGTTTACTATCGTTTCACTATTGGATGCACGAGCCATGGGCTCATGCGACGCACTATCGACAGTCTACCCACTCGATATACCCCTCCCCATTAGAACACGTGGAGACCAAGTATACGCGGGAGATAGCTTCGCAAAAATAGCAAAATTTGTCAGGCAGGGAGAGAAGAGACGAAGAGGAAGGGGGGGAGAGAGGGGTAGTGGGGTTGCCTCCGTCACCCATCGCCACCGTTTTGCTTCTTGCCACGTGGGAGAACTACCACTTGTCCATACTTCGGCTCGTTAGTCAAGTCCGGCTCTTTCCACGGTGTAATTTCCTCGCCCTTTGGTACCTTGGCAGGTCGATGCAGACGTGCTAGCCCGTCCCCGTTGCCGTGTCGCTGTCTTTCGATGAACGATATCGAAGTCGTATTCTTGTAGTCGCACCGCCCAACGGCCAATCATGCCCGTGTAGTTGGTAAGTTTCTTCAGCGCCAGAAGAGGCTCGTGATCCGTTACCAGTTGAAACTTATGTCCGTAGAGATGCGGATGGAAGTGCTAGATTCCCCAAACTACCGCATAGCACTCGCCTTGAGGCGCGGAGTCGTCTCTTCGTTCGTCCGGTACAGTTCGAGACGCGTACTCGATGACGTGTTCGCGACCGTTGTTCCCCTTCTGTGCTAAAATAGCGGAAATGGCTTCCGGTTGCCAGTCCGTGATGAGAATGAACTACTTCGAGGGGTCCGGCCGAATCAAACTAGGGGTTGTTGCCAGAGCGTCTTTGAGGGTTGCAAAGGCCTGCTGACACTCCACGTCCCAACTGAGAGGTTGGTCCTTCCGTAACAGGTTCGTTAGCGGTCGTGCAATCGCGGCAAAGCCCTTGATGAAGCGCCGGTAGTACGACACCAGTCCCAAGAAGGCTCGAACCTGCGTCAGTGACACGGGAACCGGGGCTTCCTTCACCGCTGCAACTTTTCTCGAGTCCGGCCACAATCCTTCACGTGTCACGACGTAGCCCAAGAACGAAATTTCCGAGAGGAAAAATTCGCTTTTCTCGAACGCAATCTTGAACCCAGGATCTCTCAGTGCGCCCAATGTCCATTCAATATGTTGCGTGTGCCCGTGATAGGTTTCCGAACAGACCAGAATATCGTCCATGTACACGATCATGCAGAAGTTAATCATCCCTTGTGTAAGCCGTGTCTTGTTGACGAAATTCTTGAACGTCATTTTCATTGCTCGCTGAAACGAGGCAGGCGCATTTCAAATTCCCATCAGACACCGAACCCACTGCCACGTACCCTCAAACAACACAAAGGCCGTTTTCGGTCGATCTTCTTCCCTTACCAGAATATGATGGTAGCCATGCCGAGTATCAAACTTGCTGAAATAATTAGCGCACCCAATCGCATCCAGCAAATCATAAATCCGGGGGAGGGGATACACATCTTTGATCGTGATCTCATTCAGCTTGCGATAATCAATGCAAATGCGAATCGCTCCGTTTTTCTTCGGCACTAATACTACGGGAAAGGACCAAGGTCCGGTAGCGGGTTCAATCCAACCACTGGCTTCGAACTCTTGAATTCGTTCGAGAGCCTTTTTGCGTTCAATCAAGGAATAACGATAAGGTTTGCAATGAATCGGGGAATGATTTCCTGTCTGAATTTCATGTTGGATTACTAACGACAACCCGATGTCGGTGTCTGACACACTAATTGCTTCTTGGTATTCCGTTAGAATATCCGCAATTGTGGACTTCATTTTGCACATATTGTGGAACGTGTAGTTCGAAAAGTTGGTCCCAGATCCGAACGTCAATCTGTTTCGTGTTCGCTTGTTTTGTCAAATCGGGTGGAGGCGCTGAGATGAATGAATGATCCGATCGCCTGGAGAACACCGTGGCCATCATCTGAGCATCTTCTTCTCGGATTGCCACGTGCCCTTCCGGGGTAATCCCGTCACAAACATCCTGCCACGACACTTCCTTAGTTGCGATATTTATCCCCAGTCCGTTTGTTTCTGCTTCGAAACGCCCAGGGGGTTCCAGAGAGCTTGCTTCCGCCCTCAAGCGTAACAATCTCACTTCTTTGGCTGAGGTTAGTAAGGACTTGGGTAGATCCGTAATATCACAGTAATGCTTCTTGTCGCTGTACCGGGCGAGGAGAGGGGCGATCCCTTCGTACATAGTTTGAGGGGGTTCCAAAGAGTCGACCATCCTCGAAATCTGCACGAGGGGCTCGCCTAAGATCATCGCCTTAGTCCTTTGAATTTTTTGGCTGGTCAGTTGCATCGTTCTTGCTATCGTTTTGGGCAGCGGGTAGTAAACGCGTTGTCGTACCAATTTCAAGAACTCCGGATCATCTTCGTCACTGCTTTCTGCATCGTCAGTTGATGGCTTCCCTTCTGCGGGTTCGTCCTAGGAGATCATGCGGAGAGTCCCTGCTATCATCGGCGAAACCCGCGGAACCGCGTTAATAGTAGTGCGAAGGGTCAATCGCATTGGCACAGCGTAGGATTTTCCTCCTGTATTTTGGAGGGCGATTGATCGTCGTTCGAAATTCAGGTTTGCTCGTAACGCCACAAGAGCAGGAAGTCCGAAAAGAACGTCGTACGTGTTAACATCTAGTACTACGACATCCCCAAGCGCGTGTACTTTTCCTAATCGAAAGGCGACATTGCTCATTCTCCCCACAGTTTTAATTTTTTCCTCATTTGTCGAAACGAGCTGATCTTTCTCGGTGAGCATGATCAGATCGTTTTTCTTGCCTGCCCTTTCGACCACTCTCAGTGAAATAGCCAACACAGCTGCTCCTGAGTCAATAATGGCATTGTAAGAAATTCCCCAAATTTTTATATTGCACTCTGCGGATTTCCACGGAATGGGTTTAATCCGTAGGAAATGATCGTCTTTCTGAATTAATCCTAACCGTATCGGATCCGGAGTGTTTGTTGGGTCTTCCGGCGTGGGGCCTTTGGCTTTTACGTTCGGTGCTCGGGCGAGGGTGAATCGCTTTCGATTTGCTTTGCAATGCTGTAACATTCGCTCGTTGGCTTGCTCGGAGATCGAGAGTAGGTGACCGATCGGAAGGGGAATCCGATGGTCCAAAGCTCGGATGATGTTTAGTACATCGATCTCCCCTGTGACGAAGGTGGGTCCTCCCAACTCCATTTCTCCTAAGGATGGTCGCCACTTCGCCACCTCTTTTGGTTCTGGCGCTGGTCTGATTGTTCCGATCATTCCTAGCCCAGGATATCCCAGTGATACGTACTGATCTAGCGGAATTAGCTCGGCGGCCTCTTGCATGGTGGACAGGGCACTTCCCCCACCCGCTACTTCTTCCATCAAGGATCCGACTCGTCCAGGTCCGTTGGCGATGGGGGCCTCAGCCATAGGTGCGACTCCGATCCGCTGTTGTGGGGGTCGGTGGGGGCAATCACGGGCTAGATGTCCGGGCTGATGACAGGCGTAGCAAACATTCAGATTGTTCGCAGCTCCTCCGAGAGCAGGGGCAGGGGCTAATCCTTGTTGCATCGGAGGGGCACGCACCGCAATAGGTCGCATGTTCCTCATCATGGCTTCCACCCGAGAATTGTGCTCTCGCTGTTCCTTTTTGCTTTCTTGGATCAAACTAACCAAAGTTTTGGTAAGTTCGAAAATGGTCGCCGATTAGTTTGATCGTACAGGAGCCTCTACCGGCGGCGGGGGTAATGTCCTCACAGGCGGGGGCATCATAGGAGCGGAGATGCTCGGAGTCTCACTTAGGATTACTCGTTTGGGGCCTATCTGTTCCATATAGGTGACAGGTCGTGATACAAACCCCATGTTTTCAAATTTGTTTTGTAAAGCAGCCAATTCTGCTCTTGCTCGAGCGAGCTCGGTCGAATCTCCGTCTCTAGGGTAATCTTCTCCTTCCAGGAAGTTCGCTGCGAACTTCCGTTCCATTTCTTCCGCAGCAGCCATAATTTGTTGTAGCGTATGGGTGATGGGGGAAACCTGCTTTCGCAACTTAGCCCTTATTGTTCGACTGCGGAGTCCGTCCATGAACAGATCTCTCCCTACTTGCTCACCTCGCTCAGTTTTTACGAACATTCGGTAGAACCAGTTTCGATATTCTGCGATGGATTTGAGCGGTTTTTGCACTCGGTCCTTGATCATGTACATCGCTTGCTCAGGGTGGACATAATCAAATCGGTTCATGAAATCTCGTTCGAAGGTCGGGAGGTCCACCCACACATAGGTACTGTACCAGTGATGAGCGTCTCCTCTCATTCGAGCCGGAATGTTGATCTGTGCTTCGTGATCATCGTACTGCTGCGCTCTAAGCGTGGCCAGCCATGCTCCTGCGAGATGGTGCGCCAGATCAAATAGATAGAGATCTGGTGGCGTCATGGGAGCTCGTGCACGTGGGACAGGTTGGTTAGGTGGATTAGCATTTTGTTGCGGAACTGGATTTTGCACGTTGGCAACCATATTGGCTGCTTGTCGGTTAGCCGATCTGCTTCTGGTGACAATAGGGTCGCGTCTATATGTGTTCCGATGGGGAGGTCGCCCACGGTTAACTAGGTCGCTTAATTAACGTGCTATCAATTCTAAGACCCTCACCACATGTCGGGCTCCGATACCAACCTCACGCCCAGCGCCACTTCCTGATCGGAGTGGGATGTGGGCCTGGAAGTGCGAAAAGGGGTGTGCCAATGATTTTTGGGAAAGTGGGGGAGTCTTAAGGATATGAATGCAATTGGGCGAAAAAGGGGCGCGTGTGCAGGGGACTCAAGGCCCGATGGGGCCGGGGCACTGTGGGCGACGGTTTACGGGGAAATCCCTCCGCGGTGGTGGCGGTCCCGAAAAGTTAGGACGTCGGGGGCCGCCACGTGGCGCAGGTCGCCGCGTGCCTGGGTTGGGCCTTTGGAATTCCGGAGTTCTCTGTTCGCCGCTACGTTGGCATTTTACGCAAAACGTATTGGGCCAATAGGAACAACACTGAGTTGATGATACGGGAGAAGGAGGCGGAAAGGAGGGAAACTGGTGGTGATCTCAACGAATCCTGGGTGGGTGAAGTAGTAGGTATGGTCGGGGGAAGGGAAATCGGAGCAACGAGGGTCGCTAGTGGTGGCACAGTGGAATTCCCGCGGGCATAGCCGATTCTCCGTGTGACAAGGGTATCGCGTCCTTATGAGCTCATTTATTATAGGGGTGAAATAGTCCGGGTCGTAGGACGAGTCTGAGTCCCAAGATCACGTCATGGTATCATCGCCGGTGGGATAGCGCGGGTCGGGTTATCGTCACCACGCACGAGCACGTGCAGGTCAGGCAGACGCCAGAACGCCTCAGCGTGCTCGTACGGGATGACGGTTCCGCCGCAATTCTTTCTGGGTGGGCGAATTGACGTACGGGAATGCGTATAAGGGCGCGACTTGGATCGAGTTTACACGTGCCCTCGTGCGGCGTTTATGGAGCCAGACCTCAGATCATTTAATTGCTTCGGATTATGCAAGATGCAACCATATCACACTCCATCGTGAGACAAGCAAAAACGAGAATAAAATTGCTATCGGGGTGAGATTCTTATCCCATCTACAGATGCATCAGGTGTGGGCAAAAATTTGTTACAAGCGAAAAGCAAGGACAGGGGTTCTTAGCAAAAAGATATACCAGCAGGCATAACGTCCACACATCCACACATTCATACATCCATACATTCGATAATCACACACATAACGCAATCGGGACGGACATAGCAAAGACAAGTGTGAGCAAAAACCCACGCCCTGAATTCCGAAAGCCGAAACGAAAATAAGAACGGGCAACCCGCCCGGAGTCGCAATCAAAATGTATGTACACAGGTGAAGAGGGGGAAGAGATAAAGAAACCGCAAATCCACGTCCTTCAACCTCAACTCTCTCTTCCTCTCTCTCTCTCTCAGATGAGGACAGTCCGTCGTCACGCACCGACCTACGAAGTTGTCACCCCGCTTAGTCCTCCCGCACCCGTCGGATTCGCCTGTGCCCAAAGTCCGTCGTGGCCCACGTCAATCCCGCGCGTTCGGCACCAGCCCGTCGGGTCGCCCAACTCCTACTCTACTCACCTCTTACTTCGCTCGTGTGCCGACCCTTCATGATCGAGCAACCCCGAGCTTCCAACAACAGGTTCAGAGAGCTGACTAATCGCGCAGCCGAAATTTATAGCGTGCATGCATGCGCGAAGAACACGGAATTACCAGGACTTAGAATGAGGATTAGAGAGGGAACGCCTGCGTTCTGCATGATCGGCCGCGGCGTGGGGGACGTAACCCTTCTCCACGCATCTATCCGAGCATGCAAGCCGCGACTTACAAAATTTCAGCAAAAGAAAGAGAGGGAGAGCGGGAAAGACGAAGTGCAAGAAGAAAGATACAGTTACAATGGCGCCCGGCCAAAATTACTGTTACACACGCGATTAAGGGCGCCTACTAATCAGAGTTCTGTTGCAGCTGCATGAAGAAGCGCGTAAACAAAAGGCGCCGCGCGGCAA